TGGTGCGGTGCGGTGTGGTGTCTAAGTGAATTGCGGGGGGGGGGGGCGCCCCGATAATTTAGTGTAAGTGAGTTGTGAAGGGGTGTGAGTGCATATGAAGAAACCATAGAACACCACCAAGGATAACAAGTAGAATAACAGAACATATATATACCCGTCAGTACGTATGCAAAACCCACCGAAACACCATCCAGCCTCGCGATGTACTACCCCGAGAGCAGATCGTAAGCGGGGTGAGCTCTTCAAACTCCAAACAACACGGGCTGTCCTCCACGGCCTATACCGAATGTCTATCCTGTGCGACCGATTGTTTCTTTTCTCATGCATGGCGTAGATGGTCAGATTCATCAGCATGCACCTATCGCCGAATGATTTGTCTTCATAGAACCCATCTCAGGACCTATGGCCTCACGGATGCTCTCCCGCGGATATGCTGACTCAACATCCCACTGCCGGCAACGCCATCATGCACCACGGCTGACAGTCCGATCCATGGTGATAAATACGTGCTCGGTCGTGGCGCTCCTGAGTGCGAGCGTCGCTTTCTCGGCATTTGTAAAATGCCACGATAATGTCGGAAGTTTGTGGTACAGACTATGTGCGGGTTACTTGGTAGAGGTTAGTTTTATTCGTCGAGGTTAGTAACACAAAGCATCCAAGTACCAAGCAAAAGACTGCCGTATGTTGGCATTTGATGACCTGATATGAAGACTCGGTACCGCTCAGTTCAGCCAATGATGGATTCAGTGCGCGGTGGTAGTTGTGTGACTGCTGCAAGAGAAAGCGCGGAGTGCCGCTGTATTAAGCAAGACGACGGAATTATCCATCAAGGGTCCAAAACACAAAGGCAGCTGGATGGATCAAAACATGTTCGTAACTCAGCAGGAGATGTCATTGTTCGCACCTCGATACGGAGTAACATGAACGGTCGAGGGACCGAGGGGCCGGAAGATGCAAATCAAACATCCCATTCCCAAAATGCTGCAATATCTGGAGGTGTGTATCTTCATCACCCCAGGAACCAACCAGGACGCCGGGACCTAGCTCGTAGCTGAACGTTTCAACGCCCGATCCGTATGCCATTGGGTTCACTATCCGGTATTTCCCTCGTGACCGAAAATGTCAAATCGCTGCCTTTATTTTCCCAAACCCGCTTCCTATTTAAGCGACGAGCTCGATAACACCACCAGCCTCAACAATCTTGCGCTCAGCCTCGGCGCTGACGTACCGGGCACGGACAACGACGGGGATCTCGGGGAGACGGCCTGGGGACAGAGTTAGCCCACGCATTCCTCCTCAAAAAGAACTTCCAGATCACTCACCCTTGCCGAGGAGCTTGGCGTAGCCGTTGGCGAGGAGGTCGATGACGGGGGCAGAGTCGGTCTTGGCGCCGCTGACGTACTTGTCGCGGGTCTCAAGGGGGACGAGAGACCAGAGCTTCTCGATGTTGATGGTAGGAGCCCACTCGTGGTTGCGGAGAAGGTGGAAGTCTATCCAAACAGTCAATTCCTAATTCCTTCACTTCAAGCCGTTATCGATCGCGGGGGGAACGTACGTCTCATGCCGACCTTTCCGAAGTAACCGGGATGGTCTGATTCCAGTCGTTAGCATTTGTCAAGTCTCGTTGTCGCGGGGCGGCATGGTGGCTTGAAGCGTGAAGCTAGAGTCTCCTCCAGTTTTCCCGCCATCAAACCCCATCCAATCCCCAGGGCGATGGTTTCGTACACTTATCGAGGTTGGTGCGGTGGTGGTGCTTTTCGTCGAGTTAGCCCATGTCCTGTCTCCATCCAAACTTCGAGATGATTTCGTCGTACCTGACCACCGGCCATACCACGACCACCCGGGTGCTTTCTGTGCTTGCCGACGCGACTGGAAAATTATTCGTCAATGTGAATTCGTTGCGGTCGGCCGATTGATCGTTACATACCCCTTACCGGCGGACACCTGGAGAGCACACAGTCAGTAATCAATTCAAACAGCATTTCCGGTCGGCGGGGAGAACGTACATGGCCGCGGTGCTTTCTTGTCTTGGAAAACCGGGTAGGCTGCAATAGTCAGCATCTTCTCCTCGTGAGACAGCGATTGCGGTGGGCATACCATGGTGGCTGCTGGTTAGTGACGATGTCCGGAATTCGTCGACGGTGATGCTCTTCGCAAAGAGCTATTTCGGGTCCCGCCGTAGATTTTAGGGCTGGGTATTTTTTTTTGGTGGGCACAGGACCTGAGAGCCAGCACCGGATTTTTGCCGGTGCGTGCAGCTGTAAAGTGGGCCCGCCAGTCTGCCCTGAAATCTTGGCGCAAGGGCAAAGGTTAGGTTTTGTGGGGCAGTTGGGGCTTCGCTGAGCCGGGTTAGGGTTGCTCTGAGTGAGGTCTTGGCCGAGATCTCGAACTTATCCTGAACATGGTCTGAACCAGAGATACGCTTCACTTGGCCAAGTTGTGTGAATTACGACGCTTCGATTCATTATCCCCATATCATGCCATTTGGCTCTAGTAATACATCAGCCTAGAGCTCCAGAAGTTCGCTACATGGGGAAAGAACGGTCCTGCAGAATCCCATGACAACACTCTCCATCTTTGGATACCAATTGGGCCCATTCTCTTCGTCCTCAGATAACCTGTAGCACCAACTCGAGAAAGTCAAAAAACGCTTCGCCTCCTCCATCCACCTTCTCCAATCCTAACCCTAACAAGAGGGTTCTCTTCTCATCTGGGTTACGCAGAGCCAAATGACTTGCGATCTGAGTGGCGTACAGATGGCCCATCGTCTCCCTATCAGAATCACCGCCGCCAAGTAATGTGCTGGGTGTCAGGTGTGCTGAAGGCAGAGTGCTTGAGCCAGGAAGAGCCATATCGATAGACGCTGAAGATGGTGCTGAGAGTGGTACTGACACCTTTTCGAACGTGAGTGACATATTGGAATAAGGGTTTATGTATCATCGGTTGGCTTACCCATTGGGCAAGGCGGCCACCTTGAGACACGGTGAGCATGATCTTGTCTGAGAAGCTGGTTGCTTCCACTTCGGTTGGGACACCGTTGATGATTCCAGTAACAGTCTTCGAGGGGGCAGGAAAGGGCTCCTGCTGAATAGATGTGTCGTCCATGTTGAAGATACTAAGATCAGTTTGTTACTACCGCCGTTGATGAGCCTTGGACGAAAGCCTTAGTCTTAAAGTCTTGTAACTGGCAAACATCTCCAACGTTCTCATTCACTCTATATGGCTGCATGATGTCGCACACTGTCAGATGCACTGTGATGCCTGGCCCCACTCTTTAATGTGGGGTGGTTGCTTAGCTCCAGAATTCTGCCGGGCGGACAAGATTTGTCTCGAAATCTCAAAGAAGGATTGGAGATTGTGAGAATTTCCACTGTGGTCTAAACAGATCCAAGTCGCCAAAACACACATTACGGGAGCTGGTTTCCGGGCGACAAAGATGGCCGTCAAGAAATTCGTCCCACGTCAGCGCAAGCGGAAGCATCTTGAGCGCCAACGCGCCGAGGAGAGAGCTACTCTCGACACAGAGCTCGATGCAGATTCCAATGTTGTTGAGATCACCCCGGCGCAGCAGGCTGAGGCCGAGGAGAAGAGAAAACAGTTGCGCGAGTCACTAAAGCCCGATGGCACCAAGGTCACTGGAAAAAAGGCCAAACGTCTGGAGAAGTACATCGAAAGCAAGTTGAAGAAGGATGAGAACCGAGAGCTCCTCAAAAAACTCGAGGCCAACAAGATCGACACCAGTTTATTCAGCAGTGCCAAGTCAATTGGTCAAGTTAAGGAGACCAAGAAGCAAGCCATCCGCCGCGTTCTCAGGGAGAAGGATGCCGGTCTCGGCGTGGATAAGTCAGACTTGACGCTGCTCTACCAGAAGCGCACTGTTAAGAAGGGGGAGGTCCCACAACATCGGCAACCGGAGGAATCCGACGAGCCTGAGGAGGAAGGACCCAGGACGACACAGCAGGGCACCAGCGCCAAGCAAGATCAACCACAGTCCTCTACAACCGCGGCAGCTCCTACCACATCGGCAGTCGGCTCTGGTCTGAAACGGCCACTCGAGGTCGACGACTCTGGCCGCCCAGTGCTTGCAAAGAGACAAAAGAGAGGCGGTGTGAAGTCGAAGTTCTCATTAGCTGCGCCTGTCGTTCACGAAGAACCAGTATCTGATGAATTTGGCGGGTTCAGCTCCGCTGATGAAGAGGAGTCGGGTGAGGAGGATGAGGACGAGTCTGATGCTGGTGGGTCGGAGAAAAGTGAAGAGCAGTCGGATGAGGACATGAGTGATGCTGGCAGTGGAGAGGACGAAGAGGAAGAGGATGACGACGAAGAGAGTTCTGAAGAGGGGTCCGGCTCGGAGGACGAGGAAGACGAGGAGTCTATGAAAGAGCGGCGGAAAGAAAGATCATCTGCTTTCAAGGCTTGGGCACACCAGCAACGAAACGAAGCTCTGGGATACACACCAACAACTTCCACTATACTCGAAATGCCCAGACCAGAAAACTTCCAGCCCCGCCCATTAGAGCAAGAGCCACTACCGATTGAGTTGCAGCCAACAACCAATGTCACCAGAAAGTCGCATGCCGTCACCGTCACAAGGAACCCTGAGATTGAGGAGGCTCGTTTCAAGCTTCCTGTCGTGGCTGAGGAACAGAAGATTATGGAGGCCATTCACAACAACGACGTAGTCGTCATCTGTGGTGCCACTGGCTCGGGAAAGACAACACAACTGCCGCAGTTTTTGTTTGAGGCTGGCTACGGTGACCAGAAGGGTCCTACTCCTGGCATGATTGGCGTCACCCAGCCGAGACGTGTGGCTGCTGTCAGTATGTCGAAACGGGTTGGTCAGGAGATGGGAGACTTTTCCAAGGTCGTCGCCTACCAGATTCGGTTCGAGGGCACCGTCGATCCCAACACAGCCATCAAGTTCATGACTGATGGTGTTCTCCTCCGAGAGGCGGCCCAGGATTTTGCACTTCGCAAGTACTCTGCCATTATTATCGATGAAGCCCACGAGAGAAGTGTCAACACCGATATCCTCATCGCAATGCTCAGCCGAGTGGTCAAGCTGAGAGCTGAGCTGGCCAAGGAAGACCCCACAACAAAGCCTTTGAAGCTGATCATCATGTCTGCCACTTTACGTGTTGAAGAATTTACACAAAATACCGCGCTCTTCGAGACTCCGCCACGAGTTATCGACGTGGAGGGCCGTCAACACGAGGTCACCATCCACTTCGCCAAGAAGACAGGGCACGACTATGTCGAGGACGCCTTTCGCAAAATCAGCAGAGGTCATCGAAAGCTGCCACCAGGTGGCATGCTTGTGTTTCTCACTGGCCAAGGCGAGATCACCCAACTCAGCAAGCGTCTGAAGGCTGCTTTTGGCGGTGGCATGAACACTGCATCTGGGCCCAAGGTCAAGATTTCAGCCAAGGAAGCTCCTATCGAGGCTGAGGATATCGACTTTGGCGATATCGATGACAGAGCGGTTCACGATATGGATGAAGATGAGATTTCCGACGAGGAAGAAGAGGAGAAGGAATTCGACATTGAGGATGAGGAGTCCGGCACAGGACCAAGAAAGATGCATATCTTGCCCTTGTACTCGATGCTTCCGACAAAAGAGCAGATGAAGGTCTTCGAGCCACCCCCGGACGGCTCGCGATTGGTCATCTTGTCGACAAACGTTGCAGAGACCAGTTTGACTATTCCTGGTATTCGGTATGTCTTCGACTGTGGCAGATCCAAGGAGCGCCGGTATGACCCTGTGAGCAACGTCCAGAGCTTCCAGATCGATTGGATCAGCAAGGCAAGTGCGCAACAACGTGCCGGTCGTGCCGGTCGTACTGGCCCTGGCCATTGCTGGAGGCTGTTCTCGTCTGCGATTTACGAAAGGGACTTCCCTCTCTTTGCCGACCCAGAGCTGCTCGCATGCCCATCGAGGGCGTGGTTCTACAACTGAAGGCCATGAACTTGCACATGTCGTCACTTTC